CTGAACGCTGCTCACGTGGGCCGTTCGCGTGGCTTCGCCGGTCGCGATGTCGGTCTGCATCTTCTGAACACTCTGTTGCATGCCGCGCACTTCAACGGAAGTGTCGTGGGCTCGTTGGATTCGTCGTTGGCGCGCGTCTCGATCGCGCTCGAAACTGGCGAGTGCTTCTTTAGCCCGTGCCTTTTTCAGCGTCTCGTTCGTGGAATATCTGGGTGGGCTGTAACTGCGCGTGGCCCACCCTCATCCGTGCCTTCGGCCGATCGCAAGCCGAAGTCGGCGTTCCCAGCTGCTCGGTCTGGGCCCATACAGCACGCCACTCAACCAGTGCAGTCCTTATTTCAGCCAACTGCTCCTCGACCGTGGGGCCTCGTCTCTCAATCGTTGGCGCGCGTTCGTTTAACGCGTCAAGACGTTGAGCGATGGCCGTTCCGGCACCACGCAACTTGCCGTGCAACTCGGAGTGAATGTGGTACGTCGGGACTGTAGTGTGGCAGTGGTCATCTCAACCTTGGTACGCATCGCGCTGAGGTCCTCACGTAGTTGTTGATCCTTAAGTCCATTCACATCCATAGCCGATATCAGCCGCGCCGTCAGGAGTTCATCGCGGATCGCCCTAATGGCGGTATCGCCTGTGCCGCTGACGCTCACAAGTGGGGCCTCCGTCCGATGGGGGTCGTCGTGTAGCGTCTGGATTGTAGAGGAGTCGGAACCTCGGCGTGACTCCATCTGGTCAACTGGATACTGGACCTGAGTGGGGATCGATCGATCTTCTGCGATCCGATCGTCGACAACGGCAAGGGGATTGATGAAACTCCTGCCTGAGGGCGGCCGACTGCGAGGCCCGACCCGACAAAACTGTTAGGTTGTGTACGTTTAAACCTGGTTTCGAAGCTCGGCCATGTCATTGGCGGAGAAAGAAGCACGCGACACCACATCGCGTCGCAGAGAGCTGTGCCGCGAACGCCTCTGGGAGGGGCTGCGGTTGTTGTCCCGAGGTGGGAAAGCAAATGTGAGACCGTTCTGGAGCCCTTCGCTGAAATGTCCGTACGGTGCGATTTTCGATAACACGCACATGCTCGGATGCGGACGCGTTAGTGGGCGATGTGGCCTTAGCCCAACGGCGGGGGTGCGCGAAAGAGCTGTCTGGAGATATTCCACTGGCGCCGCCGCTGCGGGTGTCCACGGGCACATCGTCCACCAGCGAATGTTGGAGAAGGAAGTGGAGGCGACGCGAAACCAACGGTGGTTCCGAGGCCAACTGCGGGTGTTCCCACGGGCACATGGGAACGATCAAAGGCGGCGCCAGGAAACGGTCCAGTGGACGTATCGGGCGCCGAGACAATATGTGAGCACCCAAGCGTGTGAGCGCGCACGGGCGGCGGCAGCGGCGAGTCGGGTAGGAACTCGCCTAGAGCAGCCGCGAGTGACGCCGAACTGCCGTCGCTTGAAAAGGGGGAAATGTGTATCACAAATTCTCTCGCCCTCTCCGTGTTGTCGCCGCGCCCACGCGCCGTCGAAGACGCCGCGCGCATAGAGGCACTGCGCCCCGAGGGGTGCAGAACCATGCGGCGGGGTCAGAGAGGACGCTTGGCGCAGCGGCGAAAAAACGTAACAACATAGGCGGATAACCTGTGTGTATAGGGCTACGACCGAAGAGTCGAACCTATGCGAAAGGAAGAAATTATCAAATCCTTTTTTCCAGGGTGCCGCACGGGAAGCACCGCGGTGTGTACACCAATACGTGAACAGATACGTTAGCGGTATGTATGCAATGAGATAGTGGTGATATGAGCGGACTTCACACACACAAGGAGGAAACCATACGCCTTCCTCCTCCTGTTCCTTAACCGTTTTCCTCCCTTTCCCACCCCTGCCGAAACCCAACAGTCATTTGAACGTCACGAGGTGGTTTCAGGGGGTCACCATAAATCCGCGTAAACGGATGTTTTTGATCGGCGCTGGATCCCCCCCTGGCTCGCTCTGCGAGCCAGGGGGGGGCATATATGTTTGTTCCGTATTCGATTCTTCGATGTTCCACACCGCCGCCTGCAAGGTCCTCGCAAGCCCGGGTCCGTGCACCACTGGCTTTGCAGGAACCTGCAGGATCCGGCGCCCTGATTGGCGTCCGTTTGCATTGACCCCCGTTTCTTGAAGTCCGATCCTCAGTCCTTTTCCCGACCTCGTCCTCTTGACTACCTACCAGACCACCCAAACCTAACCCGAAAACCCACATTTGGGGTTGGGAGGGGGTGCGGGTTCCCCGACGCCCTCTCCCAGTGGAGCGGCGAATTGGGGCCTTCGGGGTTTCTTGGGGTGGTTTGGTGGGTGGTGACCTCATCCTCCCCCCTCCCGGGGATTTGGGCGACCAGAAACTCTGGCCTGGCCAAAGAGCGCAAAAGGAGGCGACGCGAGGGGGGCGGAGACTCAGGAACGCGCGGGACCTCCAAGGCTCCTTCCCGGGAAGAGGACCCTGGTTCTTCTTTCGACTACGCGCAAGACCCGTGGCAAGAGTGACCTCTGGCGCGCCGACTATAAGGGGGCACGGAGCGGCCGAATCCGAGCGCGCCGTCATTCACTATCGCATCGCGTTCGGGATTCCGGGGGGTCCCCATTGAGCCCTCCCCATAGGACACTCCGGCGAAAGGTCGCGCAACTTAATCACGTTTAGTCGACAAGAGCGCGCGGGACCTCCACTTTGCTTTTCCAAACGGGTGGCCCCGGCTCTTTCCGTCGCCGACACCTAGACTCGGTCCGACTAAACGGGGTTGCAGGATCGCGCCGCATCGCCGATCCATCGGCGACGTCGGCGTGGAATATCGGCTACACGCAAGAAGGATCCTGGGCAATAGTGACATTCGGGGCGCGGCTTAGAGGGGGCGCGGGGTGGCCAACCCTGGGGGCGCAAGCCGCTGCCACCGCTTCGCGTTCGGCGATCGGGGGACCCCATTGGGCTCTCAGCAAAGTTCACTCGGGCGAAAGGTCATTTTTACGTCTTGTCGAAAATGTCGGACTCCACATCGAATCGCATGGCAAATCTATCGGTTATGTGCCGCGCTCCTCCGACCCCAAAAGGCGAAGTCTGGATTGATTTCTATACGCGGCCCCCAAAAGTTCCGTCCCGGCATTTTCCCTGGGACAAGCCTCGCGGCCTCCACCCCGAGCCGTTCTCTGACTGCCTCGCGGCCCATCGAGGGTCCCTGGAAACCGAAAGTGGGGAAAAAAAAGAGCTCACATTAGCGTGTGTGTATGTGTGTGGGTGTGTTTTCACGACGCGAGCATGTCTGGGACCCCGTCTCCTCGGACCCAGCTGGGCGACGAAAGGAAAGGGGTCGCACGTGAGATGGTTTACGCGGGCCACCGGAGCGGCACGCTAGAATGGAGACGAGGGCGTTTACGCGCGACCTTTCGCGCCAATGTCGGCGCAAACGACCTCGTTGTGTTGCGTCGCCCATCTGGGAGGCCTGGAACTTTCCCAGGGGCAAGAGGGAAAATGGGGGGGCGGCCAATTAGGGGGGCGTCCAAGAGGGGGGGGCGCAGATCATGGCCGGCGGCATGGGGGCGCCGGGGACGCATTGAAACAAGAAGAGGCGGCACCTCATCTGGGTAGATCACCTGGCCCCCGCCGTGATATACCCCCCTAGCCATCACCCCCTCCTGGCCGCCCCGGAAGGAAGGGACGCAGCGAACCGAACTTTTGCGACGCGCGCGCTGAGCGGCCGTGGCGCCGCGCGGCGGCGCCCAACGCCTCGAGAGGCGGTGCCCGGCTCAGGCGATTGCGCCTAATTGAGTGGGGGGGGGCCCGCCGCACACGACCCGCACAGGGGAGTGCAGGACTGCGCGTGTGACGCACCGCTGCCTCCGCGAGCGTCCCTGATGCACCGAGCCGAACTGGCTGGTCAGCCTCTGCAAGACCGAGCCGCCGCCCGAAGCCCCGGCACGGCCGCCTTCGCGAGCCACGCCGCGACGAGCCGGGCGCGCACGCGCGGGGCGCCCGCGGCCCGTGCCGGGGCGGACCCCACGGGCCCGGTCCGGACAGGCCAGTCCGTGCCGACGACTTCCCAGAGATGCGAGGCTCCTTTGCGGCGCGCACAGGGGGGGGGTGTCGGGGGGGCTCTGCTACTTAAAAGGCGCCGGCCCGGCATCTGCAGACGAGGCCCGCGCCTTCTAAGAAGCAGGGGGGCTTCAAAGAGGCCTTCCCCCCCTCCCCCTACCCCCGTCTGCGCGCGGCCGAGCTTCGATAAAAAAACTCCAGCGGATAGGCCGTTTTCGCAGCGCGGGCCCCCGATCTCTCGGCCACTTCCTGGGGACCGGCAGTTCATCCCGGGTCGGTCTTGACGATGCCGACGCCCGATAGAAGGGCCTCAAGAACCCGAAAGGAATGAAGCTCATCCGTCTCGATTTCGAGACGCCATATGTCTGAGTCTGGGGGCCCTCAATGGGCCCCGGGACCTTCAGAAACTACTCAGGACCAAAAGCTGGCCCTGCGGAAATGGTCCAGACCTCTGCACCCACGCACCGACAACAATTGGAAGGGCCAGATGTCTAAGAGCCCACCAGTGACACGAAGCCAGGACGAGGACAACATCGGGCGAGGACATCATCGAAACTCTCTGAGATCTGGCGGCTCTGGAGCCTGCCTCGGGCGCACTCCAGAACGCTCTGGGACGCTCCAGAAATCGGCCAGACCGAGCCGACGACCTGGCGCCGGGTCCAGAGTTAGGTCGGGTATGTCCCCCGACTGGCGGATTTGGGACGATGATTAAAACATGTTTAGAGCAAGAGCTCAGATATGATCCAGATAAATGATAAAACAGTTGCCCCCAATTGTTTTTTACTACTCTTGACTACTCCTCCTGTAGAGGCACGTGCCCGACTGAAGCCCAGAGGCCTGGCCCACCCCGACTCTCCGCGCCCGGCCGCGCCCTGCATGGCGTGCGCGCGCGCGCCGGGCCGCCTCGCCGCGGCCGCGGGCCGGGGGGCGAGGCCGGGCCGGGCCGGGCCTTCTGCATCGTCTCCTCCGTGGGGAAGCTGAAGTCGTCGGTCCTCGCGGCCAGGATGGGTACCGACGGCCAGGCTCGCACCGCGGCGTTCGCGGTCTGCACGAAGATCTCGGAGCCCAGGCACCCGCGGGTGAGGACGACCAGGAGCAGCTGGGAGGGCGCCTGAGCCTGACGCACCTCGGACTCCTGCATCAGGCCCTTGAGCTCCCAGCCATTGATCGCGCCGACCATGATCTTCAGCACCTCCACCGTCGCGATGGCCTCTGCATCGCAAACGTCCGCAATAACGCCCACGGCGTAATCCCCGCCTTTCTCCTCCGGGCCGTCCGCTGCCTTGCCTGCTCCGCAGGTGCTCGACACCTCGGCGAGGGCATACAGCGTCGTGCTGTGGCTTTTGGCCAAGCGGTTCGCCACCACACGGCACGAGATCTTGGCTTTGCTGCTCAGGGCGGCGTAGGCGTCCTTCACCATGGTTAGCGAGATGCCCTCGGCGGTGCAGCGCCTGAACGCCTCGGGGGGAACAGAACTTTGAACTTTACCGTCGCCGACACTGCCAGGAGCTCTCCCAGGGGTGCGGCCTGACCAGGATTTCGGGGCGAATCCAGCCGTGGCGAGGCGAAGAGAGCTAAGAGGCCCAGAATGGCGAAAGCGAGGGATCAGGGTGCCCGATCCGTCTGTCTCTTCCCTGAGCCTCCGCGGCCCAGCGCTTGGCGATGACCGCCTCGTCGAGGTCCTCGTCACAGAGCTCGGTGTAGGAGTCCAGGGCGACCGGAACCATCTGCACGCCGTTCGTGTAGGCCGTTGTGATCTGTCCTGAGGGCACCAAAACATACCGATACCGCAGCTCCCCGGACCTCTCCAAGAGTTGGTTCTGACCGATGTTTCGAGGCGAATCCAGGCCCAAGAGGGCGAAAACGAAGAAGTAGCAGGATGTACCTCTTCGTCCGCGGATGTCCAGCGCAGTGCGGGTTGGAGAGCGTCCCGCCCGAGAGGAGGATCACGATGTTGTCTGCCAGCTGGCAGCGCATCAGGTCGAAGATGTCCTCCAGGTCTCCAGACTGTTGCGCTCCCATCTCTGACTACCTGCCAGACCACCCCGACCTATTCCGAAGACCCAAAGTTCGGTTATGGGGCTGCACGGGTTCCACCTATGTTTGTCAGTGTTCACCGACACACCCCCACTGGGAATGAAGGGCAAAGTGGGGCCTTCGGGTTGGGTTGCGGTGGTTTGGTGGGTGGTGGATCTCCTCCGCCACCTGATTCCTTGCTGCTCTCGCCTCCCGCTTCTCTCCTCCCCTCGTGTCGCATTGTGTGAGGGGGTGCCCTGGCGCCGGTGCCCAGGTGGAATCTTGCCCTCCACAAGGGTAACTAGCAAAAAGAACCTCTCGGGTGGGCTCACTCCTAGAGGTGCTCCATGTTTACCTCCCCATTTCGTCCCTACAGTCAAAACGTGTACTAAGGACGGGTGGTGAGGACGCAAAGCCCTTGGAGGCCGAAGTTCGGACTTTTTGGGCGGCCGACGACGAGTGAAAACAGCAAAGGACGGGCCGCAGAGGCAAGGACACAAGGGTACCCTAGATGGAGGTGCGCGTCCTTACTTGGCGCGTTGACTGTAATTGGTTTTACTGTCCTCCAGATTCCAGTCAAGATTGTCCGAAGCCAGGAAGATGCCATTCTTGTCTACCATCCTCTTCTCCATCTCCATCTTGACCCAGCGGGCCGTGATAGCGGTGTCCGAGATGTGGCACAAAAACGCGGTCCACCTGTCCTTCGGCACGAAGCGGCGGTACGCGAGGGAAGCCAGAAAGATGCCGATGGCGCCGAATACAAAGACCATGATGATGGTGAAGAACACCTCGAGGTCTGCCGTCATGTCGCCCGCATCGACCGTGAGCAACAACGATGAGCAGGTCAGCAGGAGGATCATGCACCCCATCACGTGTATGTCCAGCGCGTTCGGGATCGCGCCCCTCCAAGGCAAGTACCTCGCGTGGATGAAGCCGAACACTACCATCACGAGAACCAGGAAGATCATCTGGCGGTGGCCGTGGTCAGCGAAGATGACGGGGATCAGAGCGATTAGCAGAGTACCTGGCCAGTGGCCTCCGGAGGTCCCTGGAGACTCCAGGAGGCCTGGCAGGCTCCGAAGCAACCCCTCCCTCCAGATGCCGAAACATTCGATATCTTGTTTTTTCCCCTGTGCGGCCCACGGAACACCCAACCATTTCCTCAAAGTCTGATCTTCATCCCGAAACGTGTTCTTGACCGTCCCGTGGCCCGGCAAGGGCCCATGGGGGCCATACCACACGAAATGCTGCAGCACTGCGGTTTTCGAAGACGCTGGGGGTCTGAGTACGGATCAGGTAGACCGGGGTGAAGTAGTAGCACTTGGCAGTGAAGCGCTGAAACATGAACCGATACCTGGACATGACGATCGAGCCCTCCGCGGAGATCCGCCGGCCCCGTCGGGACCACCAGGCGTGCGCAGTCGTCCTGCTCGTCGGTGGCGTCGCTGTCGTCGATAGAGGGAAAGCGCGGGGTCAAGGTTCCCAGACTCCCTTCTGTCACGACGGACGGACTGTGTTTTACCATTCTCGGCCTCTGGGGGCCCCTACGTGGCCTCGGGACCGTCCAAAGACTACTCGAGATGAAGAGCCGGTCCCTGGGAATTGACTGATACCTCCTAGGGTCGTCGTTCTGTGCTTTTGTGCGACGGTGACCAAGGCTGTCCGGTTGAAGGGGGCGGGGGGAGTGCTGGCTGGTAACCGAACCTTTTCGCTTTGGGCCTACGCAGCCGACAAGGTCAACGTATCCGCCGAAGGGGGAGGGCGGCCCGACAACCCAGGAGATCACCACCACACCACCACACAAACCGTACATCCAGCAGGACGCGTTGGCACGGCAACCGATTAGGGTCGCCAGCAGGGAAAACATGAGTATGAAAACCTCACCGTGCAACCCGACCCCTAACAAGAGTTTCAGGGTTGTGTGGGCGTTCTTGTTCTTTTCTGCGCCTCTGGGAGCCCTTGGAGGCCTCGGAAGATCTTCCCCGGTCTGCCATCCCCCACGCCCCAAACTCGCGGAGTGGAGGGAGCGAAGGGCCCTACCTGCATCCCCCCCCGATGGGGCCCCATCGCGGCTGGACTACGTGCCGGACGATCGGCGATGGTTGGCCCCGGAGCCAGCCCTCGTGAGGCGCCCCGTGCAGCGCCTCGACGGCGCTGCCGCTCACGGTTTTGGGGCGCGGGAGGCCCGGGGGTCCGCCGCCGCGGTGGCCGCCGGCTTCGACACGCCCGCCCACGACGCGCTGGGGCGGCACGATACCGCGGCGGCATGGCAGTCCTCGGTTCGGCCATGGCGGCTTGGCTGGCGAGTGGGCGAGGATTCCCAGCGGTTACGCCCCGGCCCGATGCGGCTGCCACGATGGCCGCCCCTCGGTCACCGACGCGAGGAGGTGGAGGCGATGCCGCGGACTAAGAAGCGGACGCTGCTGTTCTTCGCCTCCATCGCTTGCTCGGCTCCCGCAACGCACAGCGCCGGGCCCGATCGCCCCGTCAGGTTGCGCTGTACGCATTGACGGCGCTGCGGCAAGCCGATGCCGGCCATGCCGTCTGGCACATTCGCGGCTGGTCGGGCCGCCTTGCTGGAGCAGGCAGGCGGAGGCCGAATGGCGTGCTGCCCAGGCAGCGGCGAGGCCCCAGCGCTGGCAAGAGTGGCGCCGTTGGGCCCAGGAGTCTGGCCAACAGGCAGGGCATCTTCTATCGATGGATCCGAGGCGGGTCGGCAGATTTGGTGCCTGACCCAGGTGCTGGCGTGGCGGCTGACGCAGCAGCTGAGAGCCAGAACTGGCTCTTAGCGCTCCGTGGTGGCCAGGAGGCGCGCCTCTGCCACTTCGAAGGGCCCTGGCGAGCGTCGCGGCAAAGACATTCGGCGCAGTCGCTGGGCGAGGAGTGGTTTCAAACCCTGGACGTCTTCCTGGTGGTCCCCGAGAGGGTGGCTTGGACGACGGGGATGGTGTCCTCTCCGCTTCGATGCATGCGACGGCGGAAGAAGCCTGGCTGAGACGGGTGGAACACGAAGGAGCTGTTCGAGGAGGTCGAGGCCCGCGGGTGCCAACCGAGGGAGCTGGTGGAGCCAGACGGCCCCTTGCTGCCAAAGCCAGCGGGTGGCGCGGACCAGATGGACTGGCGCCCAATCTTGGGACGCAGAAAGACATGCCAGTACTACGCGTGTTCCTCGGAGGCGCGCGTCCGAAGTACATCGCGTCCCGAGCGGCTCGGCCAGAAAGCGCCCGCGCGCCCGCCACGGATCATATAACATATAGTGTCAGCTTTCTCGGCGCGCGCGTCGCCCCATCGGGGCGACGCGCGCATAGCAGCAATTTTGGGTGGCGCCGACTCCTGGCTCCTGCCGACCTTGAGCCGCCTGTGGATGGAAGGCAGAGCCCGCCTGTGGAGCAGAGACCGACCGTCCCGGCATTCCTACAAGCCTACCACGACTTGTTCTGAGAACGCGGAAATATTCTACGAACAAAAACAGTGTTCTTCGAGCATTAACCCGATGTGTGAAACAAGCCAGTCGCAGCAAGACGTGTTAAGAACATGTCGTGGAAACCACAAAAGGTTCTCAGAACATTGTCCGGCAGGCCTAAAGGCACGCCAGGAAGCGTCGCCATTGCTTGAGCCTGTTCGTGCAGCGGCGCGGCGAGGTGGGCCGGCGAGGAGCGCTGTCCGAGCTGGCCTGGGAGCTCGCGCTGGACCTGGAGGCGGCGGCCGCGCTGTCCGAGCTGACCGCCGGGGCGGCGCGTTCGACTGGCGGAAGGCGCGCGCGCTGGCCGGCAGACGTAGGCAAAGGCATGCAGTAGGAAGGCGTTGAAGTAGATTGAGTTTCCGCACGCCCACTGAAGAGGACGACAGGAAGACAACCACTCGACCCTTGAAGTAGGAAGGCGCCCGAAGTAGATTGGGATATGGGAATCCAAATATACCGGCTTCCGAGGACCGACGTGTATGACCACATCGACTTGGCCTCCCTGCCGGGCATCTTGCTGACTGCTGGCGTCTCTCAGTGGGTGACGGCCCCGTCTTTGAACGCCTGCCCCAGGGGTCTCAGGATTGACTCTGGTGATCCCCATGTTCTATGTAGTGGGATTCAATGTGGATCTGACCCTGACTGTGGGATCTGATCTCAAAAATGGAAATCTGACCCCAGGGCGACAATGGCGGCGAAACGCGCGTCCGAGTGGAGAGCGCGGTAGGGGCCGCAGGCAAAACAAACACTTGCTATCAACAATCTTGTCGATACGACAATCGCGAGAAGTCTTTACTACGACCCAACACTGGACAAATGACTATCGCATGAACGCGGTTCCCCGGTGAGGCGTTGCGCATCGGGTTCGCCAGTCCCCTCGGGCCGGTCAGAAGCCGAACGCGCGCACGAGGTGAACGCATGACGGCAGGTAGCGCTCCTGAGCGGCCACCCTGGCCGCCTGCCATAGGCCGCCTGCCGAGGCGCTGTGAAAATGAGCCGCCTTCCATCCGTGAGGGCCTTGCAAACTTTCAGGACGCATGTGCGCGGCGCGAAGGCGAGAACCACAGTTTGGAAACGGACCTGCCGTCATGACGTGAACGCGCGCGCGAGGGTGAAGACCACCCTGGCCGCATGCCATAGCCGCAAGGGGCCTGGGGTCCGGAGTGGCCCCCTGGGCCGCTCTCGCACCAAACCCCACAGTGCCAGGGCCGCCGCACCTCCGAGGGGAAGGCATGCGCTCCAGACGCCCGCCCGCCCGCGCAAGCTCAGGAGGCAGATGCCGCGGAGGCGGGGTGGAGGAGGAAACGTGCACGCGTCGTGCCCATTTGGGTCCCAGAGGGCCCTTTTGAGGGCCCCTCTGGGGCACAGAACGTCCACATCGCCCCTCCCCCCCCCCCAATTGTTATCGACCTCCACTTCTCGACGCCACGGAGGGGAAAGGACCCCCCGCGGGGCGGGGCCGATGTCGTGGGGCGGGGTGGAGAAGGAGCCCCAAAACTAAGGATAGGCCGCGCTTGCGGCCTCACTTCCCTAACATGCATGCTCCCCAAATCCCGATTCGCCAACGCAGAGAACATGTTGCCCCCAACGAGGCTCTGCGCGTCCAGATCGCCGGCCCGCTCGGCCAGGTCAGAAGTCGAACGCGCGCACGAGGTGAATGCGTCGCGGCAGGGAGCGCTCTTGAGCGAAACCTCGGGGCAAAGAACACCCTGGCTTGGGAAGGTCAAATTCTTGCAAGAATGCCCCCCTCCAGTTCCAAAGGGGCGTCGGCCGGGTCCCCTTGTCGGCCCCCATCGGCCCCGAGCTTCGGTTTTCGGACGGGGCCCACGGAGGGGCACGCAGGTTTTGTTCTGAATTGACGCGCCAATTTCCCGAGCGACTTGTTGGCCGTGGCGTTCCTTGAACGAGCCGCAGGAACCGAAGGAGCCGCCAGCGCCCAGGGTGAAGAAGTTGCCAGCTGACCTGGTTAGAAAGCTCAACACGGCGGCGATGGCCATCGAGATCTCGTCCCACGAGTTGCAGCAGCTCATCGTCTACGCCTCGGCCGCCGAGGTCAAGGACTACGTGCCTGCAAAGGTGGTGGAGGGTGCCGTGGAAATAAATTCTTGGACCAACAGCTGATGATCATCAACGAATTAAGGAACGAGGCGAAATTCAACAAGAAGTCCATCGATGGGCGCCTGCGCCGCGGTCAAGGAGCTGACCGACGACGAGGCCGAGATCCCGCGCAAGACTTCAGGTCACAAGGGTGAGAAGGGGGAGGAGGAAGCTGGGGAAAGGGGCGGGAGAGGGAGGGATTGGGGAGAAGGAGGACGGAAGGAGGAGACGGAGTGGATGACGAGACGGAAGAGGGCCCTCCGCTCGGCCGATGAAGGTCTCCTCGAGATGGTGCCTGCCGCGGCCAAGCTCGGCATCGGCATGGGCGTCCGGGGCAGCGGACGCGTCGAGGGCGGGGCCGCCGCCGAGAGCAGCGGCAAGATAACGATCAACCACGTAACATGAGCGCACCATCAGCAATCATGTGTATAAATATATAAACATGTATGAATTACCCATAAGATCTTATTATCGGTTCACACACCGCCCCCTCACGACCCAGTCCCCTTCCAAACTAGCTGGGGGGTTCTGCGCGTGAGGGCCCTTGGGACCAGGATGACCTCGCCCAGCTGATTGGCGAGGACCTGGAGGCGTCGTTCGGCCAGGATGTGACCCTGGAACTGACGGCGTCCACGTACTCCGAGGCGGAGGCGATTGCTGGCCAAATCGACGACCCGACCCGCCAATTGTAGTTGGCCCGTAATGTTTCCGACATGGGCCAAAACTCCCCAAACCCCTAAACCCACTCACCCGATGTCGCATAGCACGTTTTCGCCCGATGAATACGGCGGGCCTGAGAGCGCTGCCGCGGCCGAAGTCGCCGCCGCGGACAAGCAGGCCGAGATCGCGACGACGGGCAACGGAAGGAAGCGCAGGCTCGCCTCGAAGACGGTCGCCCAGCAGCAGGCCAACAAGACGAAGGCCAAGGGCGGCGCCAAAGGCAACGGCTCAGTTCCCCAGGCCCAAGCCTGCAGCATAGCCAAGGCCAGGGCCTACTACGATGATCTGTGCATTTGGCATGGTTCTAAATTGCGTTACAGCTTACAATGATGTCTACTTACAAAATACAAGCTGAAGCATAACTCTTGTATACCTCTGTTCTGGCTCTGTTATAGCTTCCTGCAACTTTCCATAACTCTTCCGTGTCTTCTTCCCAGCCATCCTGTGGTGTTGGGTCCTCGTTTTGAAGAGACAGCGCCCAGCGCTCCTCCTCCTCCTCCTCCACCCCTTCAATAATAATAAGAATCATCATCAGCATCATCATCATCCTATCACCCTATCATCCCATCATCCTCATGGTCATCACTCCCATTTCGGCACACCCCTCGTTGAGCCATGGGGAGCTCCACCTAAGGTCCCACTGGCCCCGCCCGCACGTGGGCGCCACCCCCGTTTCGGCACACCCCTCACACGTTGTCCAACCCAAGGTCCCACTGGCGCCGCCCGCATGTGGGCGCCACGCCCGTTTGGGGCCACCCCCGTCCCGCGCCACACGCCTCCCCCTTGCCTGTGTGCCGTGCCTCCAGCCCCTCTCCGTGTCTTCCTTGCCTTGGCATTTGTGGTGTGTGGTGTCTCCTTTCTTTCTTCCATTCGGCTCCTCCTCATCCGCCGGTCGGTCCGTCGTGCCTCGCGTCCGTTCGTCTGTCTCCCTCGGCTTACCGCTGTCGCTCCTCGCTCCTCGCATCCCTCTCTGCGTTGCTCGGCCCCGCTTGCCCTTGTCTTCCTGGCCCCTTGTCGTCGTACTCCTAGCCGGCGGTGGCCATCGCCCATGGCGTGAGTTCCTTGCCCCGCCACGGCGCGTGAGGGCCTGGCGGCTGCCACGTAACTGCCCCGTGAAGGCCCAGCCACTTCCCTACTGAGCCCACGCGCACGCACCCGCAGACCTCGCTCTGGCCCGTGAACGCCCAGAAGTGTGCGTGCGCGTGCGCGCGTGTGTGTGTGTGTGCGTGTGTGCGTGTGTGTGTGTGTGTGTGTGTGTGTGTGTGTGGGCACGCAAGATGTGTGTGTGTGTGTGTGTGTGTGCAAGGTGTGCGCTGGGCGGAAGATGAGGAGGGGTGACGTCCGGTGGGCGTGCCGAGTGTGCAAGCTGGGCGGGCATGAGGGCGGGGGGCGTACAGTGCGCGTGCAGAGTGTAAACTGGGCGGGAGGAAGTGGGGGTGCACGTTGCGCGTGCCAGGTGTGCACTTGGCGGGCGGGCGGATGGGAGATCGATAGTGAGATCGATATTAAGATAGATCGTGAGATCGATAAGGAGATCGATCAAAAAAGGAGACACTGGTCCCCCCCCCGAATCTCTTTAATACCCGGAGGGTGGTCGTGTAGGTATGCTGTAGTCTACGCACGTCGTGTGTGTATGGACCGAGCTTCATGGCCAGGCCTTCCGAGCACCTGAGAGAGTTGCGCGCTGGTTGTGCCAACTTTTGCGACCGATGCTTACCTGATCCAAAAGCGATGACTATTGAGTGTATATCCTACACCTCTTCGCTCTCCTCCTCGTATTCCACCTCGCCTCCCCCTCGTTCTCGCTTACTCCGTTCCCTCCCCGTATCACTCCTCCTCTGCCATTTCCAGCACTATCAGAGTGCGATCGTTGAGCTCTTAAAGGGTCCGCGGCTGTCGCGCCAACCTCATGAATCACCAGAGCTGGGTAGTTGAGGGTGACGTACGAGGCGACTGAGAAGAAGCCGACCCCGTACACGAGCACGGCGATGATGCCCATGACGGCCATTGCAGTCCACTCAGAATCCTCGAAGCAAATGACAGACGGGTTGGATGAAAGCGAGGACGTCCCTGGGAGAACAACAAATATCGATGCCGCTGCTCCCCAGACATTTTCCGGTGGATGGTCTGACAAGGATCCCGAGGCCAACCAAGCCGTAGCAACGAAGGGCTTCCGAGAAGGCCGACACATGCAAAAACCGGGGAATGGCATCGGTATCGGTATGCTGGGTTTATCTGCTGAAGTCCATTGGGGCTGCTGATGCAATGGAACGGCGACAGGCCAGTCATGTTGAGCATGAGGAAAAACACGAGGGTGAGAACCCCTATGGAGTTGATGATATGGTCCTCGCTATTTTAACCATGCATGGACGCCGCAATTGAAAATAATTAGTGAGGGGTCGGTATGTGGGGTCGTCGGCAGTCTGCGAGGCACCGAGGAATATTTGAAGGAGCTGGCCGAATGCGCCGAATTGCACGCGATGCGCAACGAGCCCGCCGCAGGCGCCGCTTTTCGTGTCAGAACAACGAAGGTGGGTCGCGGGGTGGGTCGCGGGTGGGTCGCGGGTGGGTCCCGGGGTGGGTCGCCTGGTGGGCCGCGGGCCTGTCGCGGCCAGGACGCCAACATGGTAGCAACAAGGCAGCAACACCAAGATTGACACTGGACCTTGTGGCCCGTCCACTGGGCTGCACCTGCCGTGGCTGTCCTCGAGAGGCGACCACGGGCCGAGGGGCCCGGTCCTCAGCACCCCTCCCCACCCAGCAGCCCAGCAACCCAGCAACTGTGCTCGGTTCATGGCTCTGGCTCTGCGCCTACACATTTACTTGACAACTGTGCTTCTGTGTGCTGAACGGGCTTCGTCTTCACCGAGGCTCCTCTTCAGGAATCCTCAGGGATCCTCTGGAACCCTGCGGATCTTCAGGACTCCTGGGGGGCCTGAGGCATCTGGATGAATCCTGAAAAATCAGAAGAATCCCTGGGAGTCCTTAGCTCAAGAATCCATGCGAATCTCGCGGACTCCTGACAAAAATCCGATGGAAACACGAGGATTCATGCTTGATACGCAAAATGTCATGAGATATCATCAAGAACCAAAGACCCCAGCAACCCCACAGGGGGGCTTCGGTCCTCTCCCCCCCCGGGAGGGGCAGATAGCCCCCTGCAAAATTGCTGGGGTTGTTGGCTGCCGGTGGGGATTGGTCCGGCCCACAAGGTCCCGTGTAAATCAACAAGGTTGACACCGAACCTCCTCTCAGGATTGAGGGTTACGGGGCCCAGATCCCAACTTCTTATATTCAGCGGTCCTCCCGCAGGTCTTTGCGACTTGTCGCGTAAACTTTCACAGGCCCAAGCACACAAAAACGAGCCAAGATGTCCCCACGAGGTCTGTTAGACGGTACGAGAGGGTTTCGAGTGGCCGAGCTATCGGAACAAGACGCCCCATATGGCCTCCAGACAACCCAAGAGGCCTCCAAGACCACCGGCAAATGGAATCATACATTTTCTGACGTGTTTGGAGGATGTTCGTGTTCTCGCCTTTTCGGTCCTCCGACGCTCCAACACGCACCGCACCCAGAGGCCCCAAAGATCGTCCCAAGACGGTCCAAGAGGCTTCGAAGATGGCCCCGAAACGTCGCAAGAGAGCCCCAAAACGGTCCAAGAGGCCTCCCAAACTGCGCAGAAGGCACCAAGACGGCCCCAAAGGGGGCCCCAGAGGGGGAACACGGACTGATTTGTTGCGCCCGACGCCCCAAAAGGGGCCCTGAGACCACCAGCAGGCCCCCAAGAGGCCATCAAAGGCCCCAAGAGGCCACCAAGAGGCTCAAAGGAGGCCCCAACACGCCACAACACAAAAGAAAAGGACATCAAAAGTGCGTTCAAGATACCCCCCCAAAAAAAAGCCCCCCACGAGACCCCAGCAGGCAGCCTGGAGGACACTGACCAACACAATCCCGTGCACGTTGGCAATTTGGGCCGAAAGTCGTTACGGCATTAAACATATATGTTCGCCGTCGTGGTCCCCCGCAGTGTGCTATGAGCAAACTATACGTTGTGCAGATCTGCGCTGTGCAAACTAAGTGGTGCAATCGATGTGGCGCAATTGACACTGGCCGCGCTCTTGCAAACATCCCACCCACCCACCCACCCGCAATTTGGTTTGCTAAACCCAAACCATGTTGTGGCGATTGCGATGCATGCTTGGCATTGGCTGGTGCATCTCTGCGGCCGCGCCAGCCCTAGCACGCGCGCGCAGCGGCCAGCTAGTTTGGCGCCGCCGGCGCGGCCGCGGTGGCGGTGACCGCTGGGCGAATCCCAGCGGGCACTTCATTGCGAGTCGGCAGCTTGTGCGGGCGCGGTATCATGACAGCGCCGACTACGGTAGAGACGATGATGATAGCGGCGATGCTGGTGACAATGTTCGCACCGACGAAGGCAAGGCCAATGAGGGCGCCGATGCTGATCACGCCGACCACAATGACGGCGTCTTCGCGTCGGGGATGAAAGTGTTGGAAAGAGCTCGACATGCGCGCGCGGCCGACGCGAGACAGTGGCCCGCATGGCTTGATTTGACACGGACGGTGCCCCCCCTCAGCACGCCCACAAGGGCGTGCGAATGATGTGGGCATGCGGCGCCAGAGGCCCGTTTGGCAAAATGCATGAACATGTTGAAAAACCACTGGTTTTCGCAAGAGCACGCGCACAAGGTTTTTTGAAAACTGATGCTGCGAAACCAATTTTTCCCTTCAGGGCATTGGACATCCGGTTATGACATCGGTACGAAACCGAACGTGTTTGAAGGATTCTGGAATGCGCGCGCGACGACACGCGCGCGTGCACTTCGCCCCTGTGTTGAAGGGGATTATGGCGGCGGCGTGTGCGCAAAAGGCGATCGAACGATTTCGACAAGCACGCGAAACCCGCTGGGTAGTATGTTCTGAAAATTATGAGAAGCCGATAGTTTTCTTGAGATTCGCAATAACGCGCGCCCTCTTTCTGTTTAAATGCGTGTTGTTTGACACCCGGTTTCAGAATCCTTCCGGGACCAAGAGTTGTTGAAGGATTGCGGCGCGCGAGCGACGACGCGCGCGTGCGCATCTCGTCCCATCTGTTTCCCGGGGTTCTGGCAACTTATTACTTGTGATAAACGATTGCGCGCGCATCGCATTCTTTGCAGAAGACTGCGGAAAAGGGGTGGAAGCTGGCTGGGCCGGGATGGTTCGAACGCATATTTGGGATGGCCGATGGGGCCGAATCGCGCGCAAACTGCAACGCAAAAATTATGCCGATAAAGCCAGGGGGGGAGTAGAGTCTTTCCTGTTTTCTAAGAATGGAGAATTCACCATTGCTCAAAATAAACTGCCAATTCCACTGCTCGCGCAATCACCCCGCCCGCCCGCCCGCAACTTGCTCTGCGGAACGCGTGCGACTCCGATTGCGAGTGCTTGGCGTTAGTTGGTGCTTCTCTGCGGCCGCGCTAACCCGCGCGCGTTCGCGCGCGCAGCGGCCAGCTAGTTTGGCGCGACCAGCGCGGCCGCAGTGGCGCTGACCGCTGGGCGCAGCCCAGCAGGCACATCGGTGCGAGTCGGTGACTTGGGCAGGCGGCGTCGCCGCGACGCCGACAATGCAAACTATTGCGACGATGGTGGCGACGACGACGGCAAAGTCAATAACGGCGCCGATGTTGATCGCATCCGCCGATAACGGCGACGACGTCCTCGAATCGGTGACAGATTGGACGGAGTTCGGCGCGCGGGCGCGGCCGACGCGCGCGAGCGGCCCGCGCGATGTCTTCTGGCGCGGGTCGTGCCCCCCCCCCCCCGCAAGCACGCGCGCAATCGCGCCCGGATGCGTTCGACATGCGGCGCGAGAGGCTTGTTTGGCGGAGTTCGATGCCAATGTTAAAAAATGATGGTTTCCTCAAGGATTCGCAAGGGCGCGCGCGAGCGTTCTTCAAACAGGTGTTGTCCGAACTTGTGGGGCGCCCAATGTTTCTGAACGGTTTCGGAGCGCGCGCGCGACGACACGCGCGCGGAATTCGCCCCAGCTGCTAGGGATCCTCGAGGCAGCGCGCGCGCGAGCGCGTTCGAACGATTTCGACATGCGCGCGCGGGGGACCGCTTGGTAGCATGTAATGAAAACGTAGGAGCAGTTGTGGCTGTCGTGCGAATATGCAAGGGCGCGAGCGCAGGCCTTTGTTGACAATCCATGAAAGGAAACCATGTGTCATTTAACTGTGTTCGTGACACTCGAACTTCAAATCCTCGTGGAACTTTTTGTTTCTAACATGTTGCGGCATGCGCGCGCGACGAAGCGCGCGTCTTGACAAAACGAGAATGCACTCATTATACGTCTGCATGGGACGCGGGGGGGGGGACCGTTGCCGTTTTGGCAGGGATGATGCGAGATCATCTGTTGGGTGGACGATGGGGTAGACTCATGGATACATCGCATTGCGAAAAGGGGGGTCGATCCTAGAATTCAAGTGGAACTGTGAATATACGTGGTGTGATATGCACATAGTCTACGGGTTGCAAAATATGTGGCGCGATCTATGTGGCATCCTTGGTTTTTACCAACGAGTTGACAAATGCCACGATCTTGCAAACATCCCGCCCACCCACCCGCAGCTTGGTTTGCAAAACCCATGCGGCGGCGACGATAAGTGCATGCCGTCGGCTGCTGCATCTCTGCGGCCGCGCCAGCCCGCGCGCGGGCACGCGGGGAGGGGGGGGGACAGGGCGAGGGGAGGAGGCATGCTAGGTGCGCTCGCGTCATATCTGACATCCTGCCCCTCCCTCCCTCCATGGCGCAGACCCCCTCTTTACTCGCACAGTCGGATGTCGAGCAGGGCAATGATCCCGAAAGGGTACGCGATGCATTGTAAAGCACGGCGTGGCATGGCGTAGACGAGCACCGCGAAGCGTAGTATCAATCTAGCATTGCATTGAATGCCGTGGAATGGCACGGGAAATGACGCCAGCGCAGCAGCGGGGGCACGAGTCGAAACGAGCAGATGCGCGGAAATGAAGCCAACGCTGCAGCGGGAGCGCGATTCGGAACGAGCGGAAGCACGCCAAAATCGGCCCGGGAGGTTTCCCCCGGGCGCCAGAAGCAGACATTCAGCATTTTCAAAAGAAAAAAGTGTATTGGAATGGTGTTTTTTCGGCGCCGCCTCGGAACTCGATTTTCCGGCGCCGGCCGGAACCGGCTCCAGACCCGGCCCGGGCGCCGGCCCGGGCGCCGGTTCGGGCGTCCGGCCCCGGCGCCGGCTTGGGCGCCGGCTCCCCTGAGCATCATCAGCATGCAGTTTTCTAAAGGCACTTCAAAATCTAAAGGTTCTTGGGGG